AGATGACAACACATCCACTAAAACCGACCGGTTGATTAGGTCCTGACCGCCTTATACAATATTGTAAGCTTGTGTCAAGATCACTTGGAACCTTCTGCCCCTATGTATAGACGTCTATCCTGCAGCAGGAATCCTAGGTGTTCCCATTCAGATGTGACTGCTGTACCCATAAAAGTTAATGACCAGCTGACAGCAACCATATCTGCTAGCGACAATCTGCATGTAATCGTAAATAATCATAAATGGTACAATTACGCACAGTTTGGGATAGATGATTGTCCCTGGACGCAAGGTAAAACATTTTTAATGGACTGCCTTAAACGCACAGTAGCGAGCCAGGCTGGTAAGAATGCACCCTAAGGTGTCATGAGCAGTTGCCCGTAGCAACCGGACTTAAGTTTAAAACAGTCAAATAAAATATATTCTGATTGGTTGTTATGGCAAACCACACTGTGCTCTATGTCCCACTTCACAAGTTTACAGATGAATACATGGTACAAGACACATACAGAACACTGACAGAGGAAGCTGCATACTGTACCTGTAGTAATTTGTCCTTTGTAATCCTTCTCCATGATCACGATACACAGTCTGCACCTTCTGAAGCTTATACAATATAACTCGTGGGGACAGGTTACAAAACAGCTGTAATACTGCTCAGGGCACTAAAGCCACAGCGGCCATCTTTGTTTAGGGCATCCGTTTTTTGTCTCCTACGTTATTATTTATTTAACCATCGTTTTCTATTAGCTTCAAAGTTCCATATCTAACTATGAGCATGATAGGTTTTCTGACTGTGGAGTTCACGCCAATAAACTTAGCTGGTCGGCGAAATAACGTTCACAGCGCCAGTTTAAAAAATGGCTGCCCCTGAGGAAACGTTAAGCCGGAAGCTGTCACATGATTATCACGTGACTACTAGTGGAATGCCGTATAGTAGGCTACAGTGTGCCACGCAAGGATTGCTTCTGTAAAAATCGGTCTGATGCAGTAGAACTACAAGCCCCAGCATGTCTTGGCAAGCAGAGGCGTTTTCTAGGTTTAAATGAAAGAACATATATATTATGTAAGGAAATCCTGGGACTTGATTTGTGGGGGTTGTAGTCTGTTTTACCATTTTTTTTGGAGCAGAATCATGTTTTTGGCCCCATAGACTTCTATGATTGTGCCTACAAAATGAGCGTTTCAGGGCTTTTCATTCAAGTCCCCGATCACACCCACCAACCCCACGTGGATCAGGACCGAGTGATGCGTTTGCGTATGTTTGCTTTGCATCGCCAATTGATTTCAATGGCTTCCTGCATGCATGACAACCTCAAAAAGTAGCTCATGTAGCAAATTCTGCTATAGGCGTCCCATGTTTTTTTCCCTGCGTGTTTGTGTGCGCTTTTGTCCCTGTTCACACCCGGGCGTTTTGATGCTCAAAGCTAAGTGCGACGAAACTCTCAACACAAGAAATCCCATTCATTTCTATGGCCCCTGTTCACACCTGAGAGTTTTGTTGCAAGCTGTAAAACCCTGACCGCTAGAAAAGGTACATGAGCTTCTTTTGGCCATATTGCAGCACGTTTGGCCGCAAAGACTTCAATGGAAGAGCATTAAACCGCACCTTACAAGTGTTTCGCACATTGCTGTGTGCGTTTGCATGCACGTTTCCTCATTCACAGCAACTCATTTTGATCTGCTCGAGAAAGCCTGCGCCTTTGCCTACGTGCGTAAAATTGTGCAAAACCTGCATAAAAACGCTCGTTTTACGCACGGAAACGCTGAGACCTAGGTGTGAGTGGAGACCCAATGTGTGCAAATGCGCAGGAAAACTGCATGTTTGCCTGGCCAGGTTTGGGATGCTATTAACTAGTAATGGCAACGCAAGTGTGTTGCACATTTTTGATGTGTTCCGCAAAAGCGTCAAAGCGTGTGTCTTATGCCATGTTTGGCGCATGTTCATGCAGCGCCCAGGTGTGAACGGTGACTACAAGTCTTTGGGGCCAGGGCTGTAGCTACCATGGGGCGAGTGAGGCACTTGCCTCAGGCGCCTGTTGCCATGCGAGCACAGGCATCGGTGGCAACAGGGGTGCCAGGCGGCCTACACGGCTGCAGCTCAGCAGGTAGAAGAGGAGCGGCACAGGCTCAAGCTTCTCCTCAGATCCCTGCTTGCTCCCCCATCTGTATGGGCAGAGGACTCTGTGTCCTCAATCTCTTTCTATTTCAAAAGGGAAATGTCAGGGGTCTGTTTAGACCCCTGATATTTCCCTGAAGCCCCCCAGCAGTAAAAAAAGCAATAATAAAAAATAAATTTAAAAAAAAACCCACACACACTCACACTGATGCACACATATTACTAGACATGCGCAAAGACTAAACATTTGTTTTGGACGAAATGAACGGAAACTAAAAATGTTTTCATTCGTTTTATCAAACAAAACAAATTTTTATGCTATTTTTTGGTTTTGGCCACCAGCACATTCTGCGCATGCATGCCGCCATCCCAGAGGCGCGGTGAATGACATCACATACCACACAGTCTGTTGGGGGGCACATTTTTCTGTTCTAGCCTCGGGCGCAAAAGGAGCTAGCTACGGCTCTGTTTGGGGCGACAGCGCACAATTCTGACCCTGTACTACCAGTCAAGTGAAAAAGGTGCACGCAAATAAAGCCTCTAAAATTGTCCAGCTGGTGTGAATGGGGCTGAAATGTCATTGATATAGTTATGAAAGAGCGGACTCAGGCACCGTTTTCCCTGCCATGTGACATTGCTGGTGCGCAGAAGCGTAAGGCTGGGCACACACCTTACAACATCGCAAGGTACTTAAAAAAACGTACGATCTGCCTATCTTGCATAGGCAGATCGTACTTGCGATGATCGCAAGCCACGCCCCCTGAGGGGCGGGTTTCCGATGACCGCAATGCCGAACAAGCAGTGTGCGCTTGCGCACACCGGCCCGTCCGGCTTTTATCGTACGAACATGCTACACACCCGCCGAACATCGTACGATGCTCGGCGGGTTTTGAAACATGTTCGTAAGTTTAAAGTCGTGCGACCTTACAGTAGTAGAGGTCGAACGGCTTCCACACTCCTTACGATATTCGTACGATCGCGGGATTTCCCGCGTTTATCGTACGATTATCGTAAGGTGTGTGGGGACCTTAAGTTGTGGTCGGGCAGCATATTCATTTGAATGGGGTGCTTACCGCATGTAATCACACTGAAGTGCATGCACCTTTTTTAAAATCCTCACGGTAACTGGTTAACATGCGATGTGCTGTGATACAATGCACATGCGATGGCTAGCTGGTTTGGGGGTCCATTAAGAAATAGGGATGCACCTGTTCTATCAGACTTTGTGACTGCGTTAGAATGTGTGACCGTTGACGTGGTCACACATTTTCACCTAATCCCGCCCAGTTTTTCAGCGGTGGAATGTGTGCCCGGTCCCATGGTCACACATTTTAACGTAATCACGCCCACTTGTTCTGCGGCAAAATATCTGACCGGCAAAAGGTGAAGAATGCAACGCTTTCTCAGCTGTTCCAGGGCAGATCGGCATTGCAGATGGTATGTGCAGGAGAAGCGATCTGCCCTGGAACAGCTGATCGGTCTTGAAATGTCACTTCTATCCGACTTTGTGGAATGTGAGATCGCAGTCACAAAGTCGGATAGAAGTGAGATTTCAGGGCAGATCGGTTCTCCTGCGCATACCATCTGCGATGTTGATCTACCCTGGGACACCTGAGAAAGCTTTGAATTCTACACCTTTTGCCGGTCACATATTTTAACCCTGGAAAAAATGGGCGTGAGTACGTTAAAATGTGTGACCACGTAAACGGTCACACATTCCACCGCTGTCACCATCTTTGATAGAACAGCACCAATAAAAAAAATTCTGTATCGAGTACAAGTACCGATATTTTTTTCAGTACTCGCCAATACCGATACTGGAAGTCCCATTAAGGAAGCCGGGCGGCGTGTATTGACTCACCGCCCAGCTTCCTGATTAGCCTGGGAAGCCGGGCAGCAGGTAATGGATAGTTTGTAAATGGCCACTTGTAGACGCCATCGAAAGTCAGCTCTATCTGAAGTTTCAATCAGAAAGGGAGGCACAGCTCCTGCTGTGAAAACTCATTAGAAATTAGAAAACCCCACAGTGTGCTGTGAATCCTGTGCCATTATACCCCCCCCCCCCCCGCCGGGTCATGTTATTCCATTTAAACAGCAAAAATGACATAAAAGAGTTTATTTACTGAAGGCATATAAACTGTTCACATAGCAAGAACATGTTCCCACTGGAAGGGAATTTTTCCTCAGCTTAGTGAATTAGTTGACTTCCATCATCAAATCATGTGCAAGCAAAAAAGGTTTTCATGGGTTTTTTTTTATTCCTTGCACGTGATTGGGTATTCTTTCCAAAGTGAATTTTGACCCTATTCACCAAGCTAAGGGTAAATTCCCCTACACAATGGGAATTCCTTCTCAAAGAAAGCAGCCTATTTGCCTTTAGTAAATCAACCCCAAAATGTCAGGTTAAAAATGTATTAATAAATAAATAAACAAACTATTTAAAGGGAAACAATTATAGTTTTCCCTTAAAGGGAACGGAACCTCTTCACCAAACTGCATAAACTAACATTACTGGCAATGTGCGGGTACCTTTGTATATGTAAATACCTGGACTTGTCTTCTAATTGATTTCTTTAAAGAAGGAGCTACCGGAATGTAAAAAAACTTGCCTTGGGCTACCCCGGCGCAGCAAGGGTTAAGTGCTTGTTTTGTCCAGGGGGCTCCAATAAAACAGAAACAGATATACTCACCCGATCCTCAGTCCCTCCTGGCTGTTAGACCGACCCTGCAGCCTCATCTCCCCCAGGCTTCGGCAGCCTAAGGGACAATGACATGATCACATCTAAGACGGGTCCATTGACTTTCATTAGACGTGAGGATGCCAAGGGACATTACACAGCCAGAACGGACAGGGAGAGAGTTGCTTGCTGACCGCCACGGGACTGACAATCGGGTGAGTAATACGGCTTTATTTTAGCCCCATAGACAAAAATTGGTGGATTGACTCACCGCAAGGGTACATTTTTTTACATTTAATAATAATAATACATGCATTAAAAGGTAAGGAAAGTAAAACCTGGGCTCGTCCGGGATTTGAACCCGGGACCTCTCGCACCCTAAGCGAGAATCATACCCCTAGACCAACGAGCCAGCTGCCAATTGAGTGTACAGATGTTACTATAGTGCCACATCAGCAGCAGCAGCTTGTATCATGTTACACTGTCTGTACAAACTGAACAGGAGAACATAGCTGAAGAGGCCAGAATCCTAAATATAATGATGCCTGCACAGGGCTAGGGTTTTTTTTTCCACATCTCTGCTATTAGATATCTTAAAGGAGAACTATGAGGGGAGTGCTTTTCACTCACCTCATAGTTCTAGTCGGCTCAGTAGATCAGGAGGTGAGCGAACACATACCGGTGTTCGCTCACTTCACGATCCTGTCACGGCTCTCTGCTGTGACAGGGGAGGGGCTGGATTCCCCGCTCCGATCCGCCAGCGCTGACTGGCGGAACAGACGGGGGAGGGGGCGGGTACAGCTGGCTCTGCCTCTAGATAGGCAGAGCCAGCTGTCACTCACGCAGCTGGGCGGATCTCGACATCGACGTCAGGATCCGCTCCTGCTGCGGCGTCTCAGTATACCGCGAGCTGTAGCTCGCGGTATACTGAGGTTAGGGTGACGGGAGGACGCTAGTTTGTGTCCTCCCGTTACCTTAAGGAGAACTATAGGGGAAAACACTGAACCCATAGTTCTCCTTTAAAACACATTTTTTACTGCAGTAAAACCCAGAGACAGACCAAAAACTGACATCTATACAGACTTATCAATCACTATGATGCATCGTGGCACAGCGAAAAGAAAGCACAGTCATTTCTACAACATGCATTAAAGTGTCCCATAGGAATAGTTGTGCAAGACACCGTTTAGCTGACCACACCTGTATTATTTTTATTTTCATCCAAATGTTTGTCTAGATCTGATTGTTTTATTTTTTGGGGGTGTGCAAGTGTTTCTGCGTTATCTTCAGTGTGAACCCATTTACAAACTAACAAATACTGTTAGATTACTATCTGATCAAATTTAGATTCAACTGGAAATAATACCTTGAAAAATGAACAGTGCAGCATGCTAGCGGGTACCATACGGAGATACAAAGACACAGAGGGGGGATGGGTAAAAGAAACACAAAACACCAAGAAGATATGGGCACAACAGCCACAAGATGTCAAGGAGATATGGACACATAAGCCAGCAGGGGCGTCCCACGTCCGGATATCACCCGGAGCGGAGGCCAGGTGACACCCCGCCATCATGTCATCGCGCATGACATCATCGTGCATGCATGACCATCTAATTGATGCCTGCTGGCGGCTATCTTGGTGTGGACGCTGGCAGAGAGAGGGGACGTTCACCCGGCGGAATGAGGTATGCTGCCGGGTCCCCTCCTCTCTCCTGACACCGACCCGACTTTCTGACTGTCAGTCACCCCTGGTATCACCCCTCCAATGGTGTCACCCGGGTGCGGCCACACCCTCCTTGTGACGCCACTGTAAACCAGAAGACACCAAGAGGATATGGGCACAAAAACCACAATTCACCATAGGGTATGTGTATGAAATAGGCGATTTTGCTCTTTTTGGTGCCTCTGAGGAAATTTAAAATGACACTAAACTCAGGAGTAAAAAATACATTCAAGTACCTTAAATATGAACAGAAATGTATCTTATTTGTGTATCACTCGGCTGTAGATCCTCAAATCATCTCTGAATTGGTGCTCACACTGTCCTTCCTTCTGGAGGGGGGCTACTTTTGTTCCCCATGGTCCCTGTGTGTGTTGTAAAGTAGTCACCGCTCCAAGCTCACTCCCGTGATGGGATTACAATCTCACGTTTAGTTTACTGATTTGTATTATAGATTGAAGTCCATCACAGGAGTGAGCTTGGAGCGGTGACTACTTTACAACACACACAGGGACCATGGGGAACAAAAGTAGCCCCCCTCCAGAAGGAAGGACAGTGTGAGCACCAATTCAGAGATGATTTGAGGATCTACAGCCGAGTGATACACAAATAAGATACATTTCTGTTCATATTTAAGGTACTTGAATGTATTTTTTACTCCTGAGTTTAGTGTCACTATTTCCTCAGAGGCACCAAAAAGAGCAAAATCGCCTATTTCATACACAGGATGGTGACTGTGCTATGGGCCATGACAAATGTACCCCAAAATAGTTGATGACTTGACCTCCCAGACCACCAATGTAGCTGATTTCAGCAAGCAACATAAAAACATAACAATGGCCAAGGAAACAAAGTCTCCGGGGCAAAGTTCTCTTTTAAAGTCTATGTACACTCAATCAAATCTTTGCACATGTCTAGTTCACGTCCTATAACTGTGTATAGAACGTCATGACTCAGGGACCTTAGACCGCTGGAGCAGAGGGGGAGAGAGGCTCCATGGACTGGTCTAGAAGCCAGCCGGCTCTGAGGATCAGGTGAGTATTGTCACTGTCATTGTGATCCTGCATTGTCACTGCCATTGCTTGCTCCTGCATTGTCGCTGTCATTGCTTGCTCCTGCACTGTCATTGCTTGCTCCTGCACTGTCATTGCTTGCTCCTGCACTGTCATTGCTTGCTCCTGCACTGTCATTGCTTGCTCCTGCACTGTCATTGCTTGCTCCTGCACTGTCATTGCTTGCTCCTGCACTGTCATTGCTTGCTCCTGCACTGTCATTGCTTGCTCCTGCACTGTCATTGCTTGCTCCTGCACTGTCATTGCTTGCTCCTGCACTGTCATTGCTTGCTCCTGCACTGTCATTGCTTGCTCCTGCACTGTCATTGCTTGCTCCTGCACTGTCATTGCTTGCTCCTGCACTGTCATTGCTTGCTCCTGCACTGTCATTGCTTGCTCCTGCACTGTCATTGCTTGCTCCTGCACTGTCATTGCTTGCTCCTGCACTGTCATTGCTTGCTCCTGCACTGTCATTGCTTGCTCCTGCACTGTCATTGCTTGCTCCTGCACTGTCATTGCTTGCTCCTGCACTGTCATTGCTTGCTCCTGCACTGTCATTGCTTGCTCCTGCACTGTCATTGCTTGCTCCTGCACTGTCATTGCTTGCTCCTGCACTGTCATTGCTTGCTCCTGCACTGTCATTGCTTGCTCCTGCACTGTCATTGCTTGCTCCTGCACTGTCATTGCTTGCTCCTGCACTGTCATTGCTTGCTCCTGCACTGTCATTGCTTGCTCCTGCACTGTCATTGCTTGCTCCTGCACTGTCATTGCTTGCTCCTGCACTGTCATTGCTTGCTCCTGCACTGTCATTGCTTGCTCCTGCACTGTCATTGCTTGCTCCTGCACTGTCATTGCTTGCTCCTGCACTGTCATTGCTTGCTCCTGCACTGTCATTGCTTGCTCCTGCACTGTCATTGCTTGCTCCTGCACTGTCATTGCTTGCTCCTGCACTGTCATTGCTTGCTCCTGCACTGTCATTGCTTGCTCCTGCACTGTCATTGCTTGCTCCTGCACTGTCATTGCTTGCTCCTGCACTGTCATTGCTTGCTCCTGCACTGTCATTGCTTGCTCCTGCACTGTCATTGCTTGCTCCTGCACTGTCATTGCTTGCTCCTGCACTGTCATTGCTTGCTCCTGCACTGTCATTGCTTGCTCCTGCACTGTCATTGCTTGCTCCTGCACTGTCATTGCTTGCTCCTGCACTGTCATTGCTTGCTCCTGCACTGTCATTGCTTGCTCCTGCACTGTCATTGCTTGCTCCTGCACTGTCATTGCTTGCTCCTGCACTGTCATTGCTTGCTCCTGCACTGTCATTGCTTGCTCCTGCACTGTCATTGCTTGCTCCTGCACTGTCATTGCTTGCTCCTGCACTGTCATTGCTTGCTCCTGCACTGTCATTGCTTGCTCCTGCACTGTCATTGCTTGCTCCTGCACTGTCATTGCTTGCTCCTGCACTGTCATTGCTTGCTCCTGCACTGTCATTGCTTGCTCCTGCACTGTCATTGCTTGCTCCTGCACTGTCATTGCTTGCTCCTGCACTGTCATTGCTTGCTCCTGCACTGTCATTGCTTGCTCCTGCACTGTCATTGCTTGCTCCTGCACTGTCATTGCTTGCTCCTGCACTGTCATTGCTTGCTCCTGCACTGTCATTGCTTGCTCCTGCACTGTCATTGCTTGCTCCTGCACTGTCATTGCTTGCTCCTGCACTGTCATTGCTTGCTCCTGCACTGTCATTGCTTGCTCCTGCACTGTCATTGCTTGCTCCTGCACTGTCATTGCTTGCTCCTGCACTGTCATTGCTTGCTCCTGCACTGTCATTGCTTGCTCCTGCACTGTCATTGCTTGCTCCTGCACTGTCATTGCTTGCTCCTGCACTGTCATTGCTTGCTCCTGCACTGTCATTGCTTGCTCCTGCACTGTCATTGCTTGCTCCTGCACTGTCATTGCTTGCTCCTGCACTGTCATTGCTTGCTCCTGCATTGTCGATGTCATTGTGATCCTGCATTGTCACTGTCATTGTGATCCTGCATTGTCACTGCCATTGCTTGCTCCTGCATTGTCACTCTGTCATTGTTTGCTCCTGTATTGTCTGTCATTGTGATCTTGTGTTGTCACTCTGTCATTGCGATCCTGCATTGTCACTCTGTCACACAGGCTTCCGATGATATCACACTACACAGACATGGTGCACTGTTGCCTCTATCAGGAATCCTGCCCTGAGAAATGTCAGGCAGCAATCCCTGGAATGCATGTAGACAGCAAGTGGCTGCAGGAGATGGGCAGCACAGAGATGCAGCAAAGGATGAAAAAAGTGAAAGCAGTATTTTATATGGTTAACATGGCAATGGTGAGTGACACACAGAGCTCTATAGTAAACCCAATATATCGGATAATTAGTAGCAGCGTGGACTAGCAGTCTTGGAGCTGTGGGCGTGTTCATACACGTAGGCATGTCATTATAGAGCATGTGGGCGGAGCCTAGCAGCGGGAAAAGAATGCAGCGTGGGAGTGGTTACCAGGGGGCGTGTTTTTGGCACTGCTCCCCGTTGCTGGCTGTACGGTGTTCTCTCTCTAACGGACATGGCGTCCTATACACTCCTCTCCGGGGCTCTCCTTCTACTGCTAGCGGTCCGGGGGCCGCTAGCCACTCGGCTGGAGCCCTATGACTATCTATACGACAACGGAGTGGAGGCGTACTACCGCAGCGACTGGCACTCCGTCATCCTGAATATGGAGAAGGCGCTGCACAACCGGGAGCTCCTCCGGCGCCACCGTATCGGCTGCCCCCTGCACTGCGCCTCCAGCAGCGACTTCTCGGAGCAGCCCCAGTCATGGGGGGCCGGGCAGGACCTGATCTTCTTCCAGGGGCTGCTGGAGCGGGCCGCCTGCATCAGACGTTGCGAGCTGGAAAAGATCGGAGCCCCTTCCAGCGATTATATGATCGGCGAGGAGCTGGACCTGGAGTTCAGGAAGAGGAGTCCCTACAACTATCTCCAAGTAGCCTACTTCAAGGTACAGACCACCGGGGGGAGGCATGGGGGCCCCTGGGGATCATACCATGGTGCAAGCTGAAATCACTGTCATTGCTCTGTAGCACTGTGTGCATCATCATCATTGCTGCTTGCATTACAAATGTATTATAGTGAACAGGCAATGGATGCCGAGATCACTCTGGCTGTCATTAAGTTGTATGTACAGCCAAAATCTGTATGTATGCCATCATGCCTCCATATGGCTTTCTTCTGCTGCAGAGTTTCCTGGGGATCCCACCAGGAACAGCGCTTCCTGTCAGGCTGACAAGGTGAAGCCACTGCCTTGCGATTAGCATAGGGGTCGTCAGCCAGCAGTACGAGATGCTTCGTTTCAGCCTTGGGTCTGCTGATCTGATAGGCCTGAACAGGGCTGAAGCTAGGGGGGGGGGCAGCACTGGGTGTGAGGATGGGGAACTTTTCCCGGGGGGGGGGGCAACTCTGAGCTTTTGCCCCGGGTGACAGAATGTCCAGCTTCCCCACCAGGCCTGAAAAATGCACCCAGGAGGCTAATTGCAAAGCGTTGTCAGCCTGAAACAGGAAGTGATGTGTCTGGCGGGATCTCCAGGTAAAGCTTGCCACGCACTTGTAGTTTATGATAATCAGAAATAACTAGATTCGACCACTGGCGCTAATGAATGGCGTCATTGGCGGAATCCACCCTGCCGGCTGTTGTATTCTGACGGCTGCCGACACAAGCTGTCGGAGTCCCAAACAGTAGCTGATTGGGCACACAATTTTTGGGCCAACTCCCTCAACGAAAAATGGACTTGTGTAGAAGGAAGCTGTGTCAGCAGGGCCATCCACAGCTGGAATTCCGGACTTTTGGGGCAGTGCATGTCCAGCTTTAGCAAATTTTCAACAGATTCACAAAAAAAACGATTTACGCAAGAAAACTTTACACAGCGAGGAATAAAATATAAAGAAAAATCGGTTTTGGGTTTACACACGGTTTATTCTGACAGCCAGCGTGATCTCTGCATCTATTGCCCATTCACTACAACTCTCAGCAAGCGTGATCAGAGGCAGCATTTGACTGTGCAGCTATTGTGGGACTACAAGTCCCAGTGTATCCAGCTGACGCTCATAGAACAGTATCGGCTTATGTTGCCTGGAAGAGGTGACGGAAGCGCTAACCTGTCGGCAAGCGTCACTCCATATACTCCTTTTATTGTGTGCGTTGTCTACAACTCTCAGTAGGAAGGGGTTCTGTAACAGATCTCTGCTTTGTAGGACTACAAGTCCCAGACGGTCACAGCTTGCTATGGCGGGTGCATTTTTAGTGGTCAGCCATTCAAGATGTGCTGAGGTCACACATCTCCAGGCTGTTGTTGTGATTGGCGTCCCAGGGTTCCAGAATAGAACGTTTGCTGCATCCTCAGACTTCCCTCCCCCATTCAATGCACTGCCACGTATTGAGTTGGGGAAAACCTCCGTCCCACACTTCTCCGAGGAATGTCTACTCACTCCAGCAAGCTCTGACTTCCCAGACGTGCCACTCCGACATCAGTCTTCACGTGTCCCCTCACTCACAGGTTGTCAGCTTCCAAGTGTATTTGTAATTTCATTTACCCTGCAGTAGTGTTCTGCGTTACTTCTATACAATGTTATCTTATTATTCAGTATTGTTATCAAATACATTTCTATTGTCATAAACCGATGTAGCTCATTATTAAAGAGAACCATTTACAAATACATAGTAATAAGCCATTGTAAGTCACTGAGAGAACCTGTTACAAATATAGTAATATGCTGTTGTAGCTCCATTATTGAAGAGAACCAGTCACAAATACATAGTAATAAGCCATTGTAGCTCAGTATTAATGAGAACCGTTTACAAATACATAGTAATAAGGCATTGTAGCTAATTAGTAAAGAGACCCAGTCACAAATACATAGTAATAAGACATTGTAGCTCATTATTAAAGCGAACCGTTTACAAATATAGTAAAAAGCCATTGTAGCTCATTATTAATGAGAACCGTTTACAAATTCATAGTTATGAGCCATTGTTGCTCAATATTAATGACAACCATTTACACATTCATAGTTATGAGCCATTGTAGCTCAGTATTAATGACAACCGTTTGCAAATTCATAGTTATGAGCCATTGTAGCTCAGTATTAATGACAACCGTTTACAAATTCATAGTTATGAGCCATTGTAGCTCAGTATTAATGACAACCATTTACAAATACATAGTAATAAGCCATTGTAGCTCATTAATAATGACAACCATTTACGAATTCATAGTTATGAGCCATTGTAGCTCAGTATTAATGACAACCATTTACAAATACATAGTAATAAGCCATTGTAGCTCAGTATTAATGAGAACAGTTTACAAATACATAGTTATGAGCCATTGTTGCTCAGTATTAAAGAAAACCAGCCACAAATAAAGTAATACACTATTGTAGCTCATTATTAAAGAGAACTGGCCACAAATAGAACAATAAGCCATTGTAGCTCATTAATAAAGCGACCCGTTTAATAGTGAGTTACAATGGCTTATAACTTTGTATTTGTAAACGGTTCTGTTTAATAATGAGCTACAATGGCTTAGTACTATGTTTGTGACTGGTTCTCTTTAATGAGTTACAATGACTTATTGCTATATTTGTAATGAGAACCGGTCACAAATACATAGTCATAAGCCATTGTAACTCAGTATTAAAAAGAACCTGTCACAAATATAGTAATAAGACATCGATGCCCATTATTAAAAAGAAACCGTCAGCAATATAAAATAAGCCTTTGTAGCTCATTATTTAAAAAAAAAAAAAAAAACGGTCATAAATGTAGTACTAAGCCACTGTAGGTCATTATTAAAGAGAACCAGTCACACATATAGTATTGATCCATTGTAGCTCAGTATTAGAGGCCAATTCTCCCTAATACAGCCATTGTAGCTGGTTATTAAAGTGAACTGGTCACTAATAGGCTAATGCCGAAATCTGAATATCTAGTCTTATGGCCATACTCAGACTGGATCGTTGCTTAACACACATTACTGTACATTTAGCACATGCTATTGCACAACGCACCTGGCGTGCAGTACTGTGCGCTAGATGCAATGCCATTTATTTGAATATCACACAAAAGCACTTAACGGCTGTTCATTGTAGTGGAACGTGCAGTAGAGCAGTTGCATGCATTGCAGTGCCGGAGGGGAGTTGGGGTTCCATTTAAATGAATGACAGCGTAATGCATCTAGCGCATTAACCGTATGCTAGGTGTGTTGTGCGCCAAATGCACAGTAACTTACATTTAGCACAACTCTCTGGTGTAAATGGGCCCTTTAGGAATTCTTTCCTGAGAATTCTGGAAATGGTGGTTGTCTGGCTATCATCCTGACCCTCTGGCTTTAATACTCAGTCTCTGATCCAGAGCAAGTCTGTAGATAAGGGCCTTTTGACTTCAGACGTTTTTGCAGGGAAGGCTCACTTTCAATTACCATGACTGTGCCGACTTGCTTAAGAATGCTAAATATCATTACTAAGCTTAAAGTTGGGGACATTTTAGAAATACACTTGCAGTGCGGCCCAGCTTTAAAGTTTATGGATAGCCAGATGTTTTTGTTCATTTTGGATAGAGTAGGAAAGGGTTAAAACCCTGTCACCTTTTTTTGCTGTCAATTACACACTGCATAATTGGCTGCTAGTGGGTGGGCTGCATAGCCTCATTGGTTGCTAGAGCCACCATAACAACCAATGACACTGCGGGCCCACCAGTGTCTTGCCAATCGATGGCTCGGTGCACTTCACACAGCAATATTCGTTGCTAGAATGCTAGCGCCTGTGCCTCACTGCATTATTGGTTGCTAGGAAGCAGGCCGGCACGCCATAACAACCAATGGCATTGTGGGCCTACTAGAATCTTGGCAACCAATGATGCTTTGCAGCCCTGTATAGTGTGGTTGGTTTTATGGACACTAGTGGCAGGGCCTAACAGCGTCGTTGGTTGCAAGGATGCAGACTGGCGCAGCAAAACAACCAATGATACTGCAGGTCCACCAGCGTCTTGTCAGTCATTGATGCTGTGTGACCTGCACACTGTCATTGGTTGCTAAGGTGCTTGAGGCCCCATAGTATCATAGACTGTTATGGTGTACCCATCTGCGTCCTAGCAACCAATGACTGTGCAATCCAGCCCCAGTTAACGAATAATGTTGTGCAAAGGCCACTATCTGAAATAAACTGGGCATGTTATTGTCACCAGATGCAGAAGTTCTGTGTATGACTCCTGTAAAATTTTCCCGTCTTCATACTTTGGTGGCCTGTGGAAAAAGTGCAACAGATTCCTCCCATCTACGCTAAACTGTGTGGATGGAGGAATCTCCCACTGGGCCAAGCTTCAGTATCCTGCTAGTCGGCCCCGATGGCTCTCAAAAACACCTGAACAATGCCTGCATCCAATCAGATTGTTCAGGTATTTTGGGAGCCAGCGGGGCCGACTACCAAGATATTGAAGCTTGGCCTAGCGGTCGATTCCTCCATCTCACAGTTGAGCGTAGAAGGAGGAATCTGTTCCACTTTTTTTCATCTGACCATAGAAAACCTATAAGTGTATGGCCAGCTTAAGGTTGGAGTCCAGCTTTAAGCAGAGATCTCTGACACCAACCTGTCCCCATGGAAAAACCGGGAGAAATAATCAAAGGCTGGTTTTATTTTTGTTTGGTGCAATTAGTGACGGGGGCATTTAAAGCTCAACTGCTAAATTCACAGATGGAGTACATACATGGAAGCTCCTTTACCTGCCAAAGAATTTGCATGTCTCTCCGTACATTCCTGAGGTTGAGACAACTGTGCCATATAGCATAGCCCTGTCTCGCAGAGCAGGAGACCTGATTTTGTCTGCTACAGTTAAGTAACACTTACAAGTCTTGTCCCTCCCCCAGCCTCTGACTGGACAGTGAGAGGAGAATCAGAAAACGTATGAGCTCATCTCTATGTCACTCAGCCCTTTCCTCCTATCAGCATGTTCCTTGTTAGCACATGAAAACTGCATCTCAACTAACTAATTGTTTTGTGCTGCTTATCCCTTCTAGAATCTGAGCTCTACTGTACAGTCAAGAGGCTAATATATGGTCAAATTCAGGTACTTGTACTGCTTGCATTTAAAATAAATAATTTAATGATGCATCTTTTATATCTGCCTGGAGTTCAGCTTTAGGCAGAGTAACAGAATAACAGTAATTAGCTGATCACCTATTGCTGTCATGGCAGGTTTACTTGATGCGTTTCGAGTTCTGTTTTTTCTCCTCACTGCTCATTGGGAATAATTGATCCGAATGTTTTGTATGTTGTATTTTTCAGATCCACAAACTCGATAAGGCCGTGGCGGCAGCTCACACCTTTTACGTGGGAAACCCCGATCACATGGAGATGCGTCAGAACTTGGAGTATTACAAAATGATGGCCGGCGTGTCAGAATCCGACTTCAAAGACTTGGAAGCCAAGCCGCATATGGTGAGTGTATACAGGCCGGGCCCGGTATGTGTCCCAGGAATGCAGAGGTGGGATTAGTGATGTTTGCACCTCAGTGGGTTTTGTTGGCCATTCCGTACCCCGGCCTCTCAGTACATGAAAACGCGTTGTTTCCGTGTCAGTGGTTGCATTATATGCCGGGTGTTCAGTCAGGGCTCTTCCTATAGACGGGGTAGTCGAATATCACATTAGTGATGTGTTCCGCACAATGTTTTCTTTTACTTGAAGATCAGGAAATGTTACCCATGATGGAATTCTGCATCTTAAATGTCAAAATCACTGTTGTGTAAGGGTTTGACCACCTGTAAAATTCCGCTTTCCATTTCTTATATGGTTTGTCACAGGTCACATTGGGTCTGTCTTACAGAAATGCAATTTCTAAATATGTCATTATGTAGCCTCAAACGGCAAACTCAGCGACGATGGCGGCCACCAGAGACACTAAAGGGTATCTTCATTAGCATGTGTTTACACCAGGAAGGGCAGCTGTCAGGGATAGGGAAAGACAGGGATAGGGAAATCTTCCAGGACACGAAGAGAGATAAAAGAAACCGCGCCTTCTTGTGTGATATAATTTATTAAAATGTATAAATCAGAACGTCCATTCTACTCACATGTTCAGTCCAGATAACATCAGCAAACAATACCATAATCAATAACCCAAGTACAGAACAAAGAAGACAGAGACCCTTCAGCATGTGATGGTGGACAATAGCTAATGCGTTTCAAGGGTTTAAACCCCTTCTTCTGAGCTTACTCAATTTCTTACTACATGCTTTAATAATTGGTGTCACACAAGGAGAAGGCACTGTTTCTTATATCTCTTTTCTTGTTTTTCTGTATATTTTGTTTTTAATAACTTTTGGTTAGAATATTAAAATCCGTCATATTTCTATTATGTCATATGACCTGTTGAACCTTTGTCATTGGGACTGGAAATAATGGGAAGGGCAAAATTGTTATTATTGTCACCAGAACAGGGAGAGGAAAATCTGTGGATGCCGATTCTAGTGATGGCTGCTTAAAGGAGAACTATGAGGTGAGTGCTTTTCACTCATCCTCAAGGCCTCATTCACAGGGACATGCAGAGTCTGAGTCCATGCAGATACCTAGGTGCAAAAATCTCTGTCCAGGGTCATTCATCTGTACCTCTATAGATGTAACATTTTGGATCAGCGTGTACCAGCATGCAAGTATAAAAACAATAAAGATCTTGTGACCGGACAAGTACATAACCCACCTTTCTATTTCCTCTGCAGTTGGAGTTCCGCAAGGGAGTCGGCTATTACACAGACGAGGAGTCCGCCGTTTCCATTGTCCACTTTGAAAAAGCCTTGGAGGAATATTTTGTTGCGGACCTTGAATGTCGCAGTCTTTGTGAAGGACCCTACGACTATGACGGTTACAACTACCTGGATTACAATGCGGATTTGTTCCAAAGTATTACTGGTATGAAACTAAAAAAGCATTTATTGATTTTACTTATTTGTGAATTTCCCGCAGAGGATTTTAAGACCCAATTGAACTTTCAGTTTGAATGAGCTAAATACAATCCAGGTGCATCAGAACAAAAGGTGGGCAAAGTCCTTTGCTCTAGAAAGTAGCCACAGCTTGAGTAGAAAAGCCAGTCCCATGCCAGAATGCATGCTTTCGATGGGGAAGCAATGGTCTCTCTGCAGAGGTCTGACACACCACCAGTGGAGTCAGAGATGGAGCTTTCACATCAGTGCGGAGCATAAGCTTTGCTGATTTACAGAGCTATAGGTCTAACTCAGTAGGAGTAGAGCAGGGGTGGCAAACACAAGGCCCGCGGGCCGAATGCGGCCCGCCGGACCTTGTAATGTGGCCCGCACAGCAGCCACCTCATTTTGCCAAGGTTCAGGCACCACAACATTAAGGCAGCCAGATTAATGCGTAATGCCTACATTACTCCCTGCCTTCAGCAGGTTCCCTCCATCTCTGCAACTGGTCCGGTGAAACCTCCTCTTTAAGGGTGCGTGCCCATCGGCATCAGAGTCAAAAACCTGAGTCAATGCAGGGACTTTGACTTGAGTCTGCATAGTGTATTGACATCCGTTGTTTTTTTTTTACGTGTCTTCATGGGGGGTTGTATTGGTTCTGCCTTGCTTGCGTTGATGCACGTTAGCAGTTCACACTAGCCCAGTGTGTGTATGGGAGGGGGGTGTATTGGTTCTGCCTTGCTTACGTTGACACATGTTAGCAGTTCACACCAGTCCAGTGTGTTGCACTTAAAGTAGAGCCTGCTCTTCTTTTTTCTCCAGTGGAGGGCAGCGCAACGCACTGGTATGCACTGCTCCCATTCGCACGCATTTATTTTTATATGTCCGTTAAACGAATGCCAAAGCATCTGGTGTGAATGGGGCCTTAGATGCTCCTGGCCACAAGCTTGTCTCCCCCACGTACAGTGCAGGTTTAGTAGCCCTGCATTGTATGAGATGCCACCAAGGATTTTGCTCTCTGTGTAGAAGCAGCGCTCTCTCTGCAGAGGTCCGACACATCCGCCCTACTGAGTCAGACCTTTTAGCTCTGTAATCAGCAAAGTTTGTGCTCCCCACTGATTCGATGGCTCTGACTCTGCTGGTGGTGTATCGAACATCTACAGAGAGACCACTGCTTCCACACTGAGAACAAGAATCCTTCTCTACTCCATTAGCAAGGGACAGGCTTTGAAATTGTGTTGCGTTAAATTACCACTAAACAACCCTTGTTAAACTGTTCATTCAAATGGTTTCAGTTACACATCCTCTAATAATCTGGTGATTCGAAGCTATGAATGTTTAAGCTATTCATTTTAGCTGAGATTTCTCCTCACCTTGGTTTAATCCCCTAAGCTTACTTGTCTTCCCCCAGGAATACTTTTCATTGTACAATGCCGCCATTAATAACATTATTTTAATTGGAGGTTCTGATGTATTGTTGCTTCACTTGATTATAATGTTCAGTGTTTGTTCTGTAAGTAACCCTCTTAAATCACAGCTTGGAAGCGGATAGGTTCCACGTGTCCCTGAATTTTGTTTTCTAGCATAATGTAAATTTATTTGCTGTTGGATTTTTCTTTATGCTTCAACTAAACTGTCTTAGGGCCCATTCACACCACATCCAGATCATCTCCAGACTAGACCAGATTGTTTCCAGACCCAAAATGCATCCTAATGTATCCCTATTCTATTTCTGGCCTCTGTTCACACCAGTGCAGTCCGTTCCAGACCATAAAAATACTGCATGTCTCATTTTGGCAGGTCTGGAATGCACTGGAACTGCGGTAGGTTCACACTATTTTCCGGACCAGAACCTGCCCTTTAAAGAAGAACTCCGGGTTGTAAAAACAATAACCCTTGCATTGGGGCTGCCCCCGCACTGCAAGGATTAACTGCTTAATTTTCTCTAGGGGCTCAAATAAATCAGAAATACTCACCCTCAATCTCACCTGGCTGCTAGACCTGTCTCCCAAGCCTCTTCTTCCCCGGGCTCCAGTGGGCTAAGGACCCGTGACATCCTTGCATATAATACAGGTCTATTTAGATTTGAAGACGCCAAGGGACATACCACAGCCGGAGCCGAGGGGCGGGGAGAGGTGAACGGTCACTGCTGCGGAACTGAGGATCGGGTGATTATTTCTCCTTCATTTTTGCCCCCTAGAGAAAAACAAGCAGTTAACCCTTGCAGTGGGGGGGGGGGGCAGCCCCACTGCAAGGGTTGATTCTTCTACAACCTGCAGTTCTTCTTTAAAGGTGAACTCTGAGAATGACGCAAAATCTGCACTGCAAGGGTTAAATGCTCAGTAGGTCCACAGGTTGGATGTAGAGGCTGTAATATTTGCCTTGCTCTGGCACTCTCCTGTTCTCCCTGATGCTCCAGGTTGTGGGCAGACCCTTGGGGATATCATGTACAATGGAAGGCTATTTTCCCTGCATAGTATGTGGAGGAGGCACGCTTGCAGCCAGGAGCGCCTTAGAGAGGAGGTTTTGCTGGACCAGTTGCACAGATGGAGAGATCCTGCAAGAGCAGTGAGTAATATACATATTGCTCATTAATCCTCTAACCCTAGACTTAACAAGCAGTTGCCCATTGCACTGTGGTGGGGTACTAGCCCAAGGGTGGCTCTTAGAAACCTAGGATGCTCTGGCCATAATGGGGGATAGGGGCGGCAGGCATCCCCACCTCACCCAATGTGATGCTGCCTGAGGCATCTTCCTCAGATTGCCTCATTTCACTGTCCTTCTCCCAACCTGTGACTGGACAGTGAAAGGAGAAGAAGCAGACTGATCAGCTTGGCTATCTCATCTTGCTCTCGCCTTCTGTCAGGATGCTTTGTTAGTGCATGAGCTCTGAAGCATAACTGATTGGCTCTGAGTGATACCCGTCCCTTTCCCATTTGAGCTTTGCTGCACAGGGCATTGCAGAAGGCCAATACCAAGTCAAATTCACTGTTCGCATTAACATAAATACATTTAGTGATGTATTAATAAATGCAGAGTTGTATTCATTTTTTGTTTTTATATGGCTTGACTTCAGCTTAAACCGCTAATATCACATGTTATGTTGCAGATCATTATGTACAGGGAATGAGCTGCAGACAAGCTTGTGTCTCTGAACTGGCCACCCAGGCCGGCAGAGAAATGCCCATCGAAGATTTCCTCCCATCGCACTTCAATTACCTACAGTTCGCCTACTACAGCAGTAAGTGCGTCTTCTTCCATCCAGTTATCCATTTCTAATGGACTTAACTATTCATAAACTGTATTTTGTGCCCCTGAGGTTTGGGGGGCTTTTATAGAGCTTATTGAAACTGTGCACATCAATCAGCCATAACTTCATGACCACTGACAGGTGAGATGAATAACATTGATTATATCGTTTTTATATGGCACCTGGAAGTGGGTGGGATATATTGTGCAGCAAGTGAACATTTTGTTCCTGAAATTGATGTGTTGGAAGCAGAAAAAATGGACAAGTGTAAAGATTTGAGTGACTTTGACAAGGCCCAAATTGTGATGTCTAGACAACTGGGTCAGAGGAACTCCAAAACTGCAGCTCTGGTGGGATGTTCTCGGTCTGCAATGGTCAGGACTTACCAAAAGTGGTCCAAGTAACGTGAACTGATGACAGGGTCATGGGTGGCCAAGGCTCATTGATGCATGTGAAGAGGGAAGGCTGGCCCACGAAGTCTGATGCAATAGAACACCTACTGCAGCTCAAGTTAGTGAAAAGGTTAATGCTGGTTCTGATAGGTGACTGAACACACAGAGCATTGCAGATTGTTGCATATGGGGCTGCAAATCCGCAGACCAGTCAGGGTGCCCATGCTGAATCCTGTCCACTGCCAAAAGAGCCTACAATGGGCAAGAGAGCATCAGAACTGGACCACGGAGCAATGGAAGAAGGTGGCCTCATTCAATGAATTGTATTTTTATATGGATGGTCGGGTTCCTGTGTGGCTTACCTGGGGAAGAGATGGCACCAAGATGCACTATGGGAAGAAGGCAAGCCGGCGGATACAGTGTGAAGCTTTGGGCAATGTTCTGTTGGGAAACCTCGGGTCCTGCCGTTCACGTAGATGTTACTTTGACACGTACCACCTACCTAAACATTGTTGTTGACCAAGTGCATCCCTTTAAGGAAACTGTATTTCCTGTTGGCAGTGGCCTCTTTCAGCAGAATAATGCTCCCTGCCACGCTGCAAATAGTTCAAGAATGGTTTGAGGAACACAATATCGAGTTCAAGGTGTTGCCTAGAAACTTCTCCAGATCTCAATCCAATCGAACATCTGTGGGATCTGCTGATCCATGGGGGGCCCCACCTCACAACTTGCATCTACTATTGACGACTTGATGCCAGAGAACAGCATACCCGGGAGAGGCCTAGTGGCGTCCATGCCTCGATGGGTCAGGGATGTTTTAGAGGCAAAGGGGGACCTACTCAATACTAGGTGGGTGGTCATAATGTTATGGCTGATCGATGTAATATTAATGATAGGACAACTGTGTCTTCTACTACCATGTTTAGGCTCATGTTTTACCCAAGCATAGGTAAAACAAGCTTTTCAGTCACGTGACGGTTAATTGTCTTCTGTCACTCTTTCAGAAATCAATGTCCTTCTCTTAGTGTTTTAGCTTTGTGTATTGAACTTTGTCTGTTACTCGATTCTACAAGAAAAGACACTAACTTATTTTTGTGGCTTTTTACTGGTTCCTAGCTGAGAATTACACCAAAGCGATTGAATGCACCAAAACCTACCTGTTGTTCCATCCTGCGGATGAGGTTATGAATCAGAATTTGGTTTACTACGCCACGGTTCTGGGGGAGGAACAAGCGGGTCTAATTCAACCTAGAGAAGTAAGTTTGCTGAAAGCTATGATCTCTGAATCTTCCAGTTCTCGTGACCGTTGGTGCATTTGTTTTCCACTACACAGAGTTGTCTTATTCTTGTTGCCATTTTGCTGACATTTACTTGAGAAATCAGTTTGTTTGCATTCACTATGCTTTAGGTAATGACAAACAACTAGAGGATGAATGTTAAATCCTGATCAGATGCTGTGGGAGATGCCTCACTTTGTTTGTTTTTCTTTTTTTCTTGCATCAGGTCACATAAATTGGGCCCATGGAGTTATTTGGCTGCCTCCGGGAAAAGGAGTATTTACAGCCATTATTTAAGAGCCGAACTGTACTTGACAGTTTGTTTGTTTTTTGCTTAAGTTGAATACATTTTCATTTTCTCATGGCTGGCCTGCTTTAAAATGCTATTGAATACATATTTGTTTTGCGCTCAAAAGAGCCACCAGTATGCCATCACAGAATCACAGACACTTGGAGGGGGAGATTTATCAAAACTGGAGCAGACAAAATCTGTAGCAGATTTGCATGGCAACCCAACCAGTCCGCCTCTCTCTCTCTCTCTCTCTCTCTCTCTCTGAGAGACTGATTGGTTGCCCTGGGCAACTGCTCCAGTTTTGATCCCCCCCCTCTCCTAGGCAGCAACTAATGATTGAAACGAATGGCACTGCAACGCACCTCCTGCAGCAGAATTTGTCAGGCCGAAACCAAAAATTGTATTGTAAGCACATGGAGCTTGAATACCTGCAGCCAGGGAATGACAGCTGCCAGTGGTAAGATTCTGCAGACGACAGCTGAATGTAAATACAGCAGGTAGTGGACGGGTGCAATAGCCAGCCTGCAATTGGCCATTTCAAATTACAATAGCCAATAGCATTGCACCCACCCACTGCTTGCTGCGCCCTTCTCCCAGCGTGGAGGAGAGAGCTAGGGAATCCAACCAACTAATCGATAATGAAAATAGTTGACAACTATTCTCATTGAATGTTATCGATTTAATCAATTTTAGTTGGTTGCAGCCCAAACAGACACCAATGTCTATGGTTCCTTAATAAAAATGGATGTAAATAGCACATAATGGCCTCAGTCCTCCCACCGCCCACGTTGCCCATTTTTGCTTTCTTCACAAGCTGCCATGGCTGAAACATCTTCAGCATCTGGCACCCTTTTTTGTTTTAAACGTATTTGCATTTTTTAGGAACACATTTAAAATGTTGCATATTAATACTTGTGAGGGGAGTATAACTTTATTTTTTAACCTAGGCAAAAACAAGCACTTAACCTTTGCAGTACGGGGGTAGCCACACTGCGAGGGTTAAGACCTTTTTACATGGAGTTTAATCTTTTGTTGGTAAAACAAAGATTGTTTGTATATTTAGTACAAAAATAAATTTTGTATTATTATACGGGATTTATATAGCACCAACAGTTTGAGCATTGCTTTACAATTAAAAGGAAAAAAAAGTACTCAAAATACTTTTTCATACGTTTGAACTTTTTCCCTTTTCAGAATATTAAGAAGTACATGCAACGAAGTCTGCTGGAGAAGGAGCTGCTGTTTTTTGCTTACGATTCCTTTGGAATTCCCTTTGTTGATCCTGTAAGTTAAACTTTGACCTCCTTCACTCCCTTCTGTTTTTTACATGTAGCTGGCAGTGAAGCCAAAACTTACAGAAGGATCCCTGGCCATCTGTTTGCCTCAGCTTGAGTTAATTTGGAGCCATTTTGTTGGAAGAAGTCTTTGGTGTAACTCCAGTTTTGTTGAGGGAAAAATGCCTTTCAGGTGATCTATATACAATGCAAGGATTTTAGGGATTTAAGGTGCTTTTTGTTTTTTTTTGCAGATTAATACTTTTGCTCTTTTGAAGAAATTGCTGTTTGTTGAATCATTTCCTTTTCTTGGACTGATTTCTGAATAGCCTTCATTATAACTGCAACAAGTGTGGTTGCAGTGTCTGCATCCCTTTTAAAAATAACATATATAAGGGCATTTTTCTTCAAGCAGGATGTAGGTTATGGAACGCTACGTGCAGTGTTTGTCACCAATCTCATTAGGCATTTGCTTTTTACAGGACACATGGACACCAGAATATGTAATCCCCAAGAGGCTGCGAGAAAAACAAAAGTAAGTTTATTTGCATAAAACTTTCATGTCAGCTATTGCATACAATCCTGCTACGAATCTTATTATTTACATTGGAAATTGCAGGAAAAATAAATAGAAATGATTAGGCTTGTAAAAGGGAAAAAAATTTAACTTTAGCTGCAGAAATGACTGTGTTCCACTGCTGTCCGCTGAAGTAATTCCTCTCCACCAGTCTTCCAAGTTAAATGACGACCGGCGTCGGTAAACCCAGTTCTTCTGTGCTCAGGCTGTCATGGACCTGTTTTCTGAGGGTTGCTTCATCATGGCAGCATGGGCTCAGAGTACTTCTGCACTGAATGGTGCTCACACATTATTAGCACCATTCACTGCAGAAGTAAGGGCCAGCCACAGCTGCAGTCTGATGGCAAGTGGAAGGGATGAGCAATGTCACCATGCCATCCAGAAGACCATCAGAGAAAATATTGATATTGTACACATTAAAGGAGAACTCATAGTTCTAGCCGACCTGTGACAATGAGACTGTCACAGGTCGGCTCAGTAGATCGAGAAGTGAGCGAACACATAGCGGCGTTCGCTCACTTCTCGATCCTGTCACGGCCCTCTGCCATGACAGGGGAGGGGCTGGATTCTCCCCGCTCCGATCCTCCAGTGCAGACTGGCGGGAACGGCCGGGGGAGGGGGCGGGTACAGCTGGCTCTGCCTCTAGATAGGCAGAGCCAGCTGTCACTCGCGCAGGTGGGCGGATCCAGACATAATTGGTGGGCGGATCCAGACATAATTGTCGGGATCCGCTTTAGCTGCGGTGTCTCAGTATATCGCGAGCTGTAGCTCGCGGTATACTGAGCTTAGGGTGACGGGAGGACACTAGTTTGTGTCCTCCCGTTACCCTAAGGAGAACTATGGGGAAAAGCCCTAACCCCATAGTTCTCCTTTTAATTAAAAAAAAAGAAAAATGTCGAGAATGGGCAGGGGTAATGCTGAACTCTGGGCACATATATCTTCAAATCTATTCCTTTATAGCTGATAAGGATATAAATGTGGCTGTGACATCATCACTGTGATACACCTAGCCTATACAGAGAGCAGAACTGTGGGAGGGACCCAGCAGACTTCACCCACTACAGGCTGCCTGCTGAAAACAACAAGAGGGGGCGAATACAAGACAAGTCACCCTGCACAAGGAGAGAGAGAGAGCAGCAGTGACTGGTCTTTATTATAAGAAGCTCCTGCACAGAGGTTTTAACATTGTAACCTTGCTTTTCGTTTTACATTTGATGCTCAGTAAAATGTTATGAATGTCCTGAAGTGTAAAGTTTTAAAGAATAGTAGCTTTATACATTGATCTTGGCGTATGAGGCTTTTCCCCCGAAATACTTTCCATGTAGTCATTCTAAATTGCTGGAAAGATTGAGCTTGTATTATGGTTGTCTTTTTTTTTCTTCAGGGTGGAGCGTGAGACAGCGGCGAGAATATCCGAGGAGATTGGAAACTTGATGAAAGAGATTGAAAATATGGTGGAGGAGAAAACCAAGGAGTCCATGGACATGAACCGAAGTGTCAGAGAAGGTGAGATTCCCCTAATCCAGGGGTGGTGAAACTACAAATTCCATGATGCATCGGTCTCTGGGTGTCATGCCTGTGGCTGTGAGAATCTTGCAACACCTCAAAGAATTTGTAGTTCCATATCAGCTGGAGGGCTGTCGTTTGCCTACCCCTGCTCTAATCTCACTACTCTTTATCTAATAAGCTAAACCGGCATGTGCAAAGAGAAGTATTACATCTGAAGACATTGCATAGTTCTCAATGCTGATCTGATTGGCTGCACTGGATTTCTGCACATTATCACTGCACATTTTTTGGGGTTCCCCCCTAATGGATGACCTTGGGCTTGATTCTGAACACCTTACTAGCTAGAACTCTCCCAAAAGCAGGAAGCATGAGCTTTGTTGATTGCCAAGCCATAGATCTGTGTCATCAGATGGCGTGTTGGGCCTTTGCAAAGAGACCACTGTTTTTACATAGAGCAAGGTTCCTTCTTTGCAGCATTCCAGCATGGAACTGGCTTTTCTATTGGGATCTACACTGAGTGGCCAAATTATGACCAACCCATCAGTACTTCGTTGGGCCTCAAGATAACTCCACGAGATGACTTTGTTGGGCCGCCTCGTGACTCCACGAGATGTTGAAAGGTGATGCAAGGAATCTGACACTGCACTGTTGCCCTTCTGTTGTCTTGTACCAGTCTTGCCACTCTCCGTTCTGCCCTAACATTGACTAGTCGCTGACGGCCACAATTCGCACATTCAGACCCAGATTTTCCGCTGACAGTCCAGTCTTTAAACACTTTAACAACAGCTGCTCTTGAACATTTAACGAATTCTGCTATTTTTGCTGATACTTACTCCATGGCTCCGAGCGCCAACAATCATCCCAGGTTCAAAGGCTGTTAAATCGCGTTGTTTCCCCGTATCTTCAGAAAAAAAATCACTTCTACTGTCGTGGTAAACAACCTGCTTCCCTATTTATAATGGTCTGGCCCTCTAGCAACTTCAATGCAAAATTATAGCCAATTAAAGCTAATTTGCCTACAAACGTCAGGTGGTCATAATAATCTGGCCACTCAGTGTAGGATGTAGCTGATTTCTAAAGAAAGCCAACTTTAAGGCTGGAGCCACACACGTGGTAATGCACATGCGTAGGTGTGAAAGGGGCCTATATGGTTTACCTTTCCCTTTCAGACTAAACTGCATGGTGAAGATGTTAACCAGACACAAAGGAAATAATAGGATTTCTACGTGCAATGCAGTTTCAAGCAGAAATTAAGTGGCTGTTCACATCTCTACGCTTAGTCGTTGAAGTTCAAAAATGTACACAAGACATTTTGGAGATGCAGTGTGCATTTTTGCCTCAGACTTCATTGGAAATCCGTCTGGTTTGCATTGGCCAAAACAAAAACACCTGAGGCTTGATACATGGGCAAAATCGCTTGCACAAAGCTTGAAAAATGTTTCAAATGTGCAACTATGGTTGTAAAAACTTGCAAAAGCACACTAAAACAAACTTTAATATTCCCAAATACGCTCTGCTCTGGTGTGAACATGGGCTTAAGGAGAGGAGAAACAACCTGATGATAAAAACAAGAGAGACGTTTCATTTGCATGACTCAATAAACAGCCATATAGGGGCTTCCCTAACTGTCACTGAACTAAACTTCTGTTTGTTAGACGAATGTGTAACATCCGGGTTCCTCCCCACAGGCGGTCCAGTTCTGTTTGATGAAGTCAGCGTTGTGATGAATTCCCAGATTCTGAACGGATCCCAGAGGGTGGTGACCGATGGGGTCATCTCTGAAGACGAATGTCGGGAACTCTTACGGCTCACCAATGTAAGCAGAGCTCTCCACAGAATGATGGTTCACATGTTTGTATGCTCATTCAAAGACAGCCGGGTAGTCTGATGAAACACCAAATCAATTTTCAGCCTTTCTGTTATGGTTTTTTTTCTTAACCCTTTTCCCATGCACTATTTATAATACTTTGATTTTCTGTAATTGGAGGCTAATGCCAAAACTTCTTGATTGTTATAGTGTCTAGATCTTCACCTTCTCGCAGACATTACATTTAGGTCCTGTTCACACAAGCGGGCACGCTTTATGGTCCACATAACATGCATATGCTGGTGTGCAATGTTATAAGTTATCTTTGACATTTGAAGTAGAATTAAACCCATCCATAATCACAGTGATACAACGTCTGTATCTTCCCTCGCTAGTGCTAACGATCTGCTTGCCCTTTAAGGCCCCGTTCACATTGAGCGGTTCGCAAATCGCACGATTTGCATTTTGCGCAATTTGTCGCGCAAATGCTTGCATTGAACAGGCTTGAATCGCGGCTAAATCCGCTCCAAAAAGGGTCCTGCTGTAGCGACACACGACCCGCGACAGCAGGACCCTTTGCCCCATTGAGAAGCATTGGAGAGCGATATCGCGCGGTAAATTGCTCAATGTGAACGGGGTCTAAAGGAGAACTATGGGGGTCAGTGCTTTTCCCCATAGTTGTCCTAAGGGTCACGGGAGAACACAAACTAGCGTGACAATCACTCGCCTCATAATTCTCCTTTAAATTACTTTCTCGCACCCATTCATTAAAGCAGAACTGTTGGGGTGGGGCTACGGCCGCACTGCAAGGGTTAAGTGCTTGTTTTTGTCTAGGTGCTAAAATAAAAAGGTTGTACTCGCCTAATCCTCCGAGCAAGACCTGGTGCCTCTCTTCCCCTCTGCTGCAGTGGTCTAAGGTCCCTGAGTCATAACATCCTATACACAATGTATAGGATGCCGAGGGACATACCATCGCTGCAGCAGATGCAGAGACAGGCTGGAAGGAGCGCAGTGACAGCTGGCCGCTTCCGCGGTTTTGGCGAGTATAACTTTTTGTATTTTAGCATCTAAACAAAAACGAGCAATTTAACTCTTTCATTGTGGGGGTAGCCCTACTGCAAGGGTTAAGAACTGTTTTGCCCAGAGTTCTGCTGCAAGGACGCTGATTGCACTGTCTGATATATATATAGCTGCCAAAGGGTAAACCTAAAAATGTCTTTATGATTTATCTATACAGCAAGCATGTCGGTTTTGAAAGAAAAACATTTCAGTAAAAATACCTCCCAAATGAGCACTCATTGAACATACAGTTTCGATTTCTCATCCGTATAAGGTGCTTCAGATCTGATCTCATTTCGTGTTCCTAGGCTGCAGCCTCCACTGGTGATGGCTACCGAGGTACAACCTCCCCTCACACTCCCAATGAGAAGTTCTCTGGGGTAACCGTGTATAAAGCTCTAAAGGTAAGTCAGTACATGATTTCACTTAGCTCTTCCATTTCATAAATACAATCCACAACCGTGAGCCTTATACAAATCCTACAAGGAAAAGTGAAGTGTGTGCTTATAATTGCTGCTGCAGGTTTTAAATAAAAATCTGATTGGTCACTGCAAGGTAACAGAACTGGCCTTGCTCCAAAACATTAAGGTGCAAATAGCTTGTGGTGCCTGCAAGGTCCTGGGTAAGGGTTCATAGATTTTGACTCCCTGTCTGATGTCAATAGCAGTGGGTTTGATTTGCCTTTGCAAGGTGCTTTATGTTGCTAGATCTAGATCTCTCCCCTTCTCCGTTCACAGAGCACCTTGTATTTTGTGAACAGAATACAAGGTGTTTGGTGAGTAGACAGGGGGGAGTAGGGACTGCTAAATGACATGATCCCTTACTGTACAAGACCCACAGTGCTGGAAGTACATAATTCGCTGTGTTTTAGGGCATCAAAGAAGTAAACAACTGCGAACTGGACCTTGCAAAATCTTCATTTGAGGTAACTTTGTACAGGCCAAAACACAGACAATGTTTTTTCCTGACACACTGCTTTAAAGTTGAACTGAAGCCAAACTTTTTTTTTTTTTTCTTTGAATGGAGTAAGGGGTGAAATCCCTGGGGGCCAATGGGGTGATCAGAACTAGTGTCCCCATTGGAAGAGTTACCATCTCTTCCTGTTCTCATGACAACGTAGAACTTGGGATTTTCTTTCAAAGATAATGGTCACCAGGACACATGGGGTGAATCTCACAGGCAGGGCCCTCCTTACCATCTTGTCTTCAATTGTATTGTGACTGTAATGTCTTCCTTATATTGTAAAGCGCTGTGCAAACTATTGGCGCTATATAAATCCTGTATAATAATAATCTCCCTTATGGGGACACAGACAGCAATAAAATCTCTTCCCCTCTCCACTCTTATCAAAAACTAAAAAAGTTGTGGCTTCAGCTGCACTTTACCTTTTCCAGATGTCTTTTGTAACATAGCAAATCTTCCATTTTTGAGTTCAGTTCTATTATTCTATTCTTTGGGTCCCATTTAGATATTGTCTTGTATTTGTAAAGCCTTAGCCAAATATAGTAAGACTGTCCTCTTATTTTCAGCTGGGGCAAGAGGGGAAAGTGCCATTGAAGAGTGCGCACCTTTACTATAACGTTACGGACAAAGTGAGGCGATTGGTGGAGTCGTACTTCCGCCTGGAAAACCCTCTGTACTTTTCCTACTCTCATCTAGTGTGCCGGACAGCAATTGAAGGTACAGTCATTAGAGGATCAATATCTGTCATCACATATACTTCTTCCATATGCTGTGCTTCCTGACTTAGTACTGCTCTACAGAAGTTATCTTGTTTCTCTGCCTTTATATGCAGATTGTCTTCTAGTGTTTTGTAAAGCATTGCGCAAACTGCTGGTGCTATACAAATCCTGAATAGTAATCATATGAATAGTAACTATGTAGAACATAACATGGCCATACACTTTTACCACTCTAGTAAAAACAAAATAAGAATATAAATGGGTACAATACTCCCTTTAATCCAGAGATGTCACCTGCAGTATTTCTCTAGATGTCCTCAGTATTTTAGGATGAATGGCAGCCATCAAACATATTTCCTCTGAGTCCAGGCTGTTAGTGATGTGGGGAGTAGTCATCCTGTCAGCATGCTCCCTGTGAGCATGTGAACTGATTGGCTCCTCGTTGCTTCCTCCTCTCTCTGTCTGAGCTCTGCTATACAGGGCCTGCAAGAGCATGATACTAAGTCAAATTCGGGTACTTGCGTTTGCATTTAAATCGATAAAGAGCTGCAATAAATTTTATCTGCCTTGAGTTCAGCTTTGAGTAACTCCACTTTTGCCGAGAAAAAAAAAACAATCCCCTCTGTGTGCTCTGTGTACATTACAGGGATTTTAACAAATGTTGCATTTTACTACCTGTTTCTGTTCTGAAGAAATAGCAGTTTGTTGCAGCATGTCCTTTCCAGACCGATCCCTGAATGGGGGGGTCTGGGTTTATTATAATCAGATGGTGGACCTTCTTTGTTGTAATGAGGAAAGGTGCAGTGTCGGCATCCCTTTTCATAGTAATTAACCCTTACGGAGGATCTCACCAAAAATGAAATTGCTATTGCAAGGGATGCCAACATTTATACTTGTATCTTAGTGCAGACTTCTGGGGAAATCAGCCAATCACAAAAGCAGGAAGTGACATTTCTGGGGTCGTTCCGTACACCAACTGTGCACAGAAACCTACGAGGTCGCCATATTGCATTGAATTTTTAACAGATTTTGAACACTACGGCAGCTACAGTTTTTTTAAATGGAAAGGTAATTTTTAATAATATTAAATTACAAAATGGCTTGTGCCACAATTTATATTTGCTATATTCATTTTGTAAAGTTTTTTTAAAATATATTTTTAAAGTGGAATTACCCTTTAAGGAAATGTTGCAATGTTAATATGTACAATGTACACAATAACAATGCAATATAGGTCACCTATTTCTACAATAAGGTATACATATTAAAAAATGCATTCTGGTTCTCGCTGTATGTTGCGCTCTTGGAACTAAACAGTTGAAATTCTTATTTTGCAGAGAAACAAGTAGACCGAAAAGATCTGAGCCATCCTGTCCATGTTGATAACTGCATTTTAAATGCCGAAGCAATGATGTGTATAAAGGAGCACCCCGCATATACTTTCCGAGATTACAGGTAGTGTTATCATTCCTCTTCTGCAGGGTTTGGTTTTTACCTATTAATATTTTTTCCTTGTAGTAAAGTAACTTTGGCACCCTTCTGTCACATGTTCTGTTCTACCTTTCCATTTTCAATCAGTGAGTAGTTGTGGATTTGAGAGATAATCTATAAATTCAGCTCTTTGCTATCATAGCAACAGTAATTTGAATGTAGAAAACTCCCAAAACCCCCCCCCCCCCCAAAAATCTGTGTTCCATTAGGGAGATTCCCTTCACTTCCTGTCCTGTAGATGCGTCAAGTAGTCAGGACATTTTCCCTCACTTTGTAGATATTTCTTATTGCTTCTTTTGCAACTCCTGGACAGGAAGTGAGGGGAAAATCTCCTCCTCAGCGTGAGATAGATAGTAAAGAAAACCAATATGGGCTTTAACCCTTTTGCTGCCAACGACTTATGCTGTATGCCACTCGCAGCAGGCCCCTTTAAACTGACTCCAGCCGCCAAGACACTGTTTAGCTGTGTGAAGCGGACGGTTGGCTTTACACTGGAAGCAATTCTGGTGGCTAAGCTGCTGCCAGGGGCCAGTGAAGTGTGCTCCACCCCACCTTGCTTCCCAGGCTCTGCTGCCCCTCCTGTGAGCCCAGGACTGGCATCAAGGATGGCGGCAGGAAAAGGGGAGAGAGACCGGCGAATAGATGTTCACCAATCTCTTTCTGCTTAATGGGACCGGAAGCTACACTGATTGCATCACGTTCGGTAACGCCGCGTGCGTTAGAATGATAGCAATAATTCTAGGGCCAATATTCACAGTTGGCTCTAAAATGAGTGTTTTTTTATGCACTAAAATTAACTAGCGTATTTTTTGCTACAATTTTGGGTTTGATAAAGAGTTGCACTAATATCGTGCAACGTAAAAACTTGCAACTGCCGTCATTTATTCTACAGGGTCTTTGCTTTCAGAATATTATATATATGTTTGTGTATGTTTTGGAGGCTTTAAGCAATATTCAGCCCTAAAAGTTTTTTGGATTATGTGTGCAGAAAAAAAAGCCTAGGCAGTGAATGGTTAAAGGGTCTATAACAGGTCTACTACACTCTCATACACTCAATAAGAGAACTACATAGCTAGTGATGGAGCATTAACCTTTGGACCTTGCGATCCCTACCGTTATCTAATTTCCTGAAGGGCATTTAGCGCTGTACACTTCGTTACACCATTAGCGCCCTGGGGGCATTTACACCCCCCAGATTTGTTTTTCTTTAACGTATATCTAAGTGCAGACTGAATTTCCTCTCTATCCCAGTCCCAGCCCCCCTGATGTACAGGCAAGCTGCTACATGTTGGAGATTCTGGTTGTTCTGTTAATGACGGTCATGAAACAACTACATTGGAATCTGCCTGTGATGCACAGACAGGAAAATTCAGGCTCATGTTCTGCCCTAGGCCAAAGACAACCTGATGAGACCTGCGTGTGTCTTCACAGGAAATCTTTATTCAGCTCTAGTAATGTGTTCCTATATTAAAGCCCATCTTCAACTAAAACCTTTTTTTTTATCGCGGAGGGAATGGAAAGAGTTAGATCCCCTGTTAGATTTTATGTCTCTGTGTTCCTGTTGGAGAATTCTTCTGCGGTGCCTGACACATTGGATAGGCAAGAAAGGAAAATATCTGCAAAAGGAAACTGGGACAGTAATAAAAACCAGATAGAAGTTGTAACTCCTTCCCACTCTGCCCAAGACTAATTAATGTTTTGGCTGGAGTGGGGCTTTAAGCCTGCGAGCCGATTGTCGTGGATCACATGGACCGGCCTCCTGTTAGATCCTAAAGGGAATCCATAATTTTTTGTTTTTTTAGGCCTGGTTCACATCTGCACGTTCCCGGAACACGCTTTCATGCCCACCACGTGCCACCATTGATTTCAATGGGGTCATATCCACGTGGCAAACAGCCTCCTGCACCTCTTTGTGCAACACGTGAGACACGTCTTCTGTCGTGTTTGTTCACATTTGCACACCTGCGGGATTTGGCCGCTGCATTTCGGGTGCCATTAGAAATAGCACCACAAGCGCGTTTCGGGTTTGTGTGCGATGCTCATGTGTGAACTGGGACTTAACAGCTATATGTGTGAAAGAAATCAGCAACTATAGAAAAGGAAGAAAGGAAGGATTGGGCAGTTCTGACAGATTTTTAAACATTGTCTGCCAAGGCTGGCCTTGGCTGACACCGATTGGCTAACACTGACCTGCGGGGTTGAATGAGAAAATGCACAAGATTCCCCCATCCACGCTAAACTGCATGGATAGGGGAAACAACCATGTACTATTTAATTCTTACAGCGGTCGGTGCCTAAAGAGCGACTGCGGCTGATTGCCTGCAGTCACTGTGGGCCAAGAATTTTTGGCTCGACTGCTTCAACATAAGCCAATTAAGAAGCAACTCTTGTGCCATGGAAGGGTGCTGACTAGGCCACACAATGGTCAGATTTTGGCCAGGTCAGCAGGATATGCAGGGGACAACCTGTGAATGGTTTTTAAATAAATGTGTACAGACAAACTGCTGCTCTTTCTGTCTCATTTTGCTTCTACCTGACATTGTCTGGCTAATGAAAACCATAAACTTTGTAAAGTCTCTCTGACGTGAAATGCTCACAGTGCGGCAGGAGCCCATGCGATCTTTCCTAGGGCTTATCTGCCATAAAGCCTGGAAGTAGTGCTTTTTGCTACAAGTGAGAGGTGATTATGTTTTTATTTTAAAAAAATGTAATTTGGTATTTTCAATTTGCCCCATAGATGGGTTTGCAGATAGGTTCTACATGTACACCCTTTTTGCTTTGCAAACTAACATGTTGGATGTCTTTTAGTGCCATACTGTATTTAAATGGAGACTTTGAGGGAGGAGACTTCTACTTCACGGAGCTGGATGCCAAAACAGTCACAGTGAGTATGGCTCCAAAGGCACGAGTCTTGTTTGTCTTAATCTTTATATTTGAAATGTAATCTAAAAATAATATTTAAACGGGAGTTCCAATTTAAAGCTATATGCATTCAAGTGAGCAATGTACAGCCTGCACTTTTATACAGAAAAAAAGCACATTTAACTGTGCTTTTAAAGGGTAATTCCACTTTCTCAGGTAAATTTGGGAAAATGACCCCTTCCAGTCTGGCGAGTCTCATTGGTCAGCACAGTCAGGTCTGCCTTGACCAATGAGTGGTCGCCATTTACAAGCGAACTTAAAAATCCAGAGCTCAGGGCTGAGCTGCACGGCAGTATGTGGTATGGATAGTACACCGGCGGAGAGGAAGGAGCGCATGGCCAAAGGTAAGTATAGTGGGGGAGAGGGAGCCGGTAATTCAATGTTCCCAAATTCACCTGGGAAAGTGGAATTACCCTTCAAAAGGATCAGTTCACTAATAATGAATATTCCAGTTTTTGATGAATACCAATGGAATAAACCATCTACCAGTTCCTTGTATTCCATGAAATGGATAACTCCACTTGTAATATTCATGGCAAAAGGAAAGGGGACCTCGGGTGCAGATATCTAAGCTTTGACATTTAACAGACGTGTCGTACACTTCTGCTGATGTAGTTTTACTCTAGATGTGACAGTGCCGTGCTTTATTTATAGGCTGAAGTCAGGCCGCAGTGTGGGCGGATGGTGGGGTTCTCATCAGGAGCAGAGAACCCACATGGAGTAAAAGCAGTCACCAAGGGGCAGAGGTGTGCTGTGGCGTTGTGGTTTACATTGGACCCCAGGCATAATGAAAGGGTAAGTGAAATCATGTAACAAAGAGATGTATGTTAATATTTTGCATGCTAATGATTAAATTGTGTCTGGGCAAAACAAAATATGCAGTATTACATACACTTGTCCCTATGTGTTATCCCAAATATAGAAAAAATAGCTATTAAACTGCCACAAAGCCAGTGTGGTACCGTATCAAAAGCCTTTGAGAAATCAAGATCTACCACATCCACAGACCTCCCTCCATCCAGATCTCTACTTACCCCCTCGTAAAAAGTCAGTAGGTTAGTCTGACAGGAACGGTCCTTCCTAAACCCATGGTGGTTGTCATTTATTTTGTCATTATCCCGAACTAATTCTACTAAGTGGTCCTTAATCATTCCCTCTAACAGTTTGCAAACTACCGATGTAAGACTAACTGGTCGGTAATTCCCAGGTTGGCATCTTGCCCCCTTTTTAAATATTGGAACTACCGTAGCCTTCCGCCAGTCACTCGGAACTCTACCAGTCATTAGAGAGTCCTTAAAAATGAGGAATAATGGTCTAGTTATAACCTTGCTTAGTTCCTTAAGTATCTTGGGGTGTAGATTATCCGGTCCCAACGCTTTTATTTGCATTAAGTAGACTAAGTCTTTGTTGTATCCCGGGTTCCGTCAACCACTTGGCTATATTTTGTGATGAACTCTGTTTTATTATCGGTGTCAAACCCGTTTCCCTCCTGAGTGTATACTGAGGAGAAAAAAGTGTTCAGCACTTCGGCCCTCTCCTTGTCATTTGTGACTAACTTCCCGTTTTCGTCCTTAATTGGGCCTATCTGCTCCTTTCTCCCCTGTTTATGTATTGGTAAATTATTTTTATTTTTTTCTACAATATGTGGCAATATGCTTTTCGCACTCTATTTTAGCTGCCCGTATTGCTAGTTTGCATCTTTTATTACATTCTTTGTAGTTATGGAACGCCAATGCCGTCGCCTCCATCTTATATTTTATAAATGCCGCTCGCTTTTCCTTTATGTGATGCTTTACGTTTTTATTCAGCCATTCAGGTTTTGTTTGTAATCTTTTACTTTTATTACCCAACGGTATACATTTGGCAATGACAATATGTAAAGTGTTTTTTAGGGCCTGTTCACATGAGATCAGGTCCTGATCAGCAGACGTGGAGCTGCTGATGCAGTGTGTTTTTGATGCGTTTTCGGTCCGGATGCTGACAGTTCATTTTCTTTTTTTTTGCCAAGGGACTGTCAGTATGCAGATTCAGCCTCTGAGGTCACTTCCGCGCTCTCGGAACATCTACTTCCCTTTATGTATGTAAAGCTGGTGATCAGACATGTATCGCATATTTGCAGGCATGGTGCTGGCTACAGCAATCTGCAGAGAACGAGCCCGCAGGAGACGTCGTTATTGGGTACACCCAATCTTGAGGCTCCGGGACTCCAAGGGTCAGTTCTGGAGTTTGTATGAGGATTTGCGAGGTCACCCGGATACATTTTTTTCCTTTACTCGCATGTCCATGGCAAGGTAATGGGCATGTTCCAAATGTTTGCAGTTCATGTCGTTACCTCTACCCCAACCTGTCTGTATATCGTTGATAACATCATAATAAGTGGAGCAAGAATACAATTTTTTTTTTTTTCCTTAGCTGCGTTGCGTTTCCGTTTTCGTTGCGTTTGTGTGCATTTCCGGACCGGACAAAATGTGACATGCAGTATTTTTTCTGTCGTAAGCTGAACGGACTGCGCACGTGAGAACTGTAGCCCATAAAACACATAGGGATACATTGGGATGCATTTTGAGTGCAGCAGCATACGGAGCCGGTCAGCACACAAAACGGACGTCGTGTGAACAGGCCCTAAGGGCCTGTTCACATGATATCAGGTGCGGATCTGCAGACTGATGCAGTGCGGTTTCAGCAAGTTTTTGGCCGCGTTTTTGATGCGTTAAAAAAAAAACATTTTTTTTTTTGCTGGAGTGGGGCTGTTAGTATGTTAGCTGCAGTGCAGTGCGTTTTGGACGCGTTTGCGTTTCCGGACCTGACAAAATGTGACGTGCAGTATTTTTTTCTGTCGTAAGCTGAACGGACTGCGCACGTGAGAACTGGAGCCCATAAAACACATTGGGATGCATTTTGAGTGCAGCAGCATACGGAGCCGGTCAGCACACAAAACGGACGTCGTGTGAACAGGCCCTAACATTCCCACTTTTGGTCCGAGTTCAATTTGTGAAATAAATTTTCCCATTTGATGTCCCCCACTAGGTGGCGCAGTTAATCAAAGTTAGCCCTTCTGAAATTAAGGGTTCTTGCCCTACCAGCCCGCTTCCCTTTCCTGTATCCAATATTGAAAGTAATCACATTGTGATCACTATTTCCCAGTGTCTCCCAATAACAATATCCTCAATTAACTCTGCATTATTAGTACAGTAATACCTTGGTTTACAATTAACTTGGTTTGAGAGCGTTTTGCAAGACAAGCAAACATTTCTGAAAAATGTTGCCTTGATATAGAAGCAATGTCTTGCAATAAGAACAAAATTTTGTAGAAAAGCACCACCCGAATAAGGCTGTAGCAGTGCGAGCGATGAGTCTGTTTAACTACAACGCAATGTCACATTGGATAGATTCCTTGTTAAGGTTTCACAAAATGAAAAAGATTCCATTGAGCCAAGAGATAGCAGTGATTCCGTTAGTGATAGTGAAAGTCCTCCTACACAATAATCCTCCTCTCTCTTGTCCCCCTCACACCGGCCACAGAGGTACCGGTAATTGGTTTATTTTTCTTTATATTTTATACAGTATTATATTACAGTATTGTAATAATTTTTATATGAATATTTTTGGGTTGTGGAACGAATCATCTGAATTTCCATTAATTCCTATGGGGAAATTCGCTTTGATATACAAGTGCTTTGGATTACAAGCATGCTTCCGGAACGAATTATGCTCTTAAACCAAGGTATTACTGTAATGATTAAATCTAGGATGGCATTTTTCCTAGTATGGACCCCCACCATCTGGTCCATGAAATTGTCACGCAACATGTTCAGAAAGTGGCCCGCCTTTGTTGAACTTGAGGTTCCATTTGACTTTAGATGAGGCCCCCCCTCCTTGCCTAATTTGGAGGTTTATAACAAATACCCACAATTAGTTTGCGACAATCGTCCGTCATATGCAGTTCCAGCCATAAGGATTCCACGTCCTCCCCACTATTTGACGTGATGTCGTCCATTATATGCATATTTAGATTATTTTTAACATAAATGCATACCCCCCCCCTTTCTCCCACCTCTGTCGCACAAATTCTCCTACATTTGTGCCTCCCCATGCTCCCCCTCCCAGACACTGCAGCTCACAGTGGGAAGTTTTCAGCAGCACAGTCAGGTCTGCCAATCCAGAAAGCAGTGGGCAGGGGCTAAGTGTTGTCAGCTGCTGATTGATGAGCTATGGGTCTATAAAACCGATGCCGATAGCTATGCCCCCTGCAACGTCTTCACCTAGAGCTAGCAGGCACGGCCTACATGAGGGGACACCAATGCTTTGTATTCAGGAGCTGTGTGGTAGCGTTGTTCCTCATCTCAGAAAGGTGCTAGGGGTGGACTTCACTGGCAAGGTCTTTGTGGGACTTTACAGTGGGGCTAAGAGGAAATGGTAAGTGGTGATGTACTTATAAGCCCTCCCATTTGCATTTTTTTTTTTAATCGGTTGCCTTATTCCTCTTTTTAATGCCTCTGTTTTTTTGGGGGTGGGTTTTTTTTAGGAAAGGGTCCAAGCCGATGACTTGATAAAGATGCTTTTCAACACAGAAGACATTGACATATTCCCAAGAAATGAATTCAAAAAAACATCAGAAATAATATCTTCAGAAGGTGGTAACACGAAGCAGGCCACTTCTTCTGATAGCCCTGTGGACTCTAAGGCACCAGAACCTCCAAAGGCTCCAGACTCTGATGCTTCCAAGGAAGGTGTCCTAGCACAACCATTGGACACTGTGAACACAAAGACGGAATTATAACAGTAACACGGACATTGACCTGCAGAATGCTGCCTGGCCGGAATCTGTGAATCAGGGACCCATTTCCACAGATCATTTCCTCGAGGGAACAAACTGCCATTACGGTATAAATTTTAGGGTTTTCCAAAATATTTAAGTGTTACGTTAAGGCAATCCTACTATTCTTGAGCTCCCCGTGATCAGTCTGCCAGAATGTGCTCATGAAATAGGCCTCAGCCACTTGAACAAAGGTTTATTATAGAACATTTCTGCTGTGGACTGTACAACAGAAGCCAAAAAGTATTTTTCATAAGAGGAGGACTTCATACAACTTACCTTTTTAAGATTTCTACCCTTTTCAAAAGGTTTCATTTTTATATAATTTGTTTTGTTTTTTTCTTTACTTTTGAACTTCCATAGCAGTTCACATAGGTGCTATTACACTACTTTCTGCAATTTTAGGTGGTTCATGTCCTAAAATCCATTATTACCGCCCATGTCTGTACTTGTAAACCAATATGAAAGGGAAATTGAGTATTTTCTTTAAAAAAAAAAGACTGTATAAGAAACCTAATTGTTATTCCTAAGTGATATTATTATTGAGCGACAAAAGAGAATTTGGAAAAGCTTACTCTAAAGATTGAACTAGGAACAAGACGTGATGCCCAAGGCAACCAATCAAACTTTTATTCAGCATTCTGGTGTAGATTAGAAAATAAATGGTAGAAGCTGATTGGTTGCTATGAGTAACGCAGGCAGCTCTTTTATGCCCCCCCCCATGTGTTCTGTTGCACCTCTGTACAAACTATAGGCATGTATTTACATATTCTTAACAAGCACAAGCAGTTAAAGAGCTTTAATAAGAGACATCCCTGACCTCTCTAGCTGCTTGTTATGTGAAGTAATTCATTCTCAGAGATAACAGCCATGCCTCATAAGTTTGGTGGTAGTTGGTTTCTAACCGCTTAGAAACACCCTCCGTGTGTTTACATTAGAGGTCTGGAAGTGTGCCAAGATTCTGGTGCAAAAATAGGTAATGTCTAGAAGCTAAGATTTCAGTGTCTCAGATTTGAGAATGAGTTTCTCTGCAGAAGTAAATATGGGCTTGTTTGCAGCTGCTTTTGCTATTTCTTCAGAATATGTAAACCCCCCAGTGTGGGCACAGGTTCAATTTAACGAGACCCGGTTAACTTGCCCATTAAGGACAAAGTGACAGTTTTTTTGCAACGGTGCCCTCCCACCTATACTCTCCTTACCAGCACTATCTCATTGCTGCTTTCTCAGTCACTGCTGGAATTAAAATGGCCAGTGCCCGCTACTAGGGAAAGCGGTGACACTGCTCACACCCAAGCATTGTCACAAGCTCCTCCAGAAGCATTGGGTATTGTCGCCCGCTGCAAAAGAGGAATGATTGGTGGGGGGAGTGCTAGCAAGGTAATAGAGGGGATATTTTACCAAGGCACTACCAACTATCACTTTGCCCTGCATAAGCAAGGTGACAGGGTCTCTTTAAGAATGGTTTCACTCTTGTTTGTGCATTCTTAAAGTGGACCTGTCATAGTCTCTTGCTAAGATACTGTATTACGGTAGCTGTTCTTGGGTAAGTGTGCAGCCAGTGAAAATGACACAACGCAGGAGTTAAATCTTCAAGAACCTTAACTAATAAGAAAAATGTATCTTGTGTATCACTCGGCTGTAGATCCTCAAAATCATCTCTGAATTCATATGGACGCTGTCGTACTTCAGGAGATTGGCTACTTTTGTTCCCCATAGTCCCTGGGTTGAGTAACCACCACTCCAAAAGCTTGCTCCTGTGATGGACTACAATCTCACGTTTAGTTTACTAATTTGTATTGAGATTGTAGTCCATCACAGGAGCGAGCTTGGAGCGGTGACTACTTTACAACACACACAGGGACCATGGGGAACAAAAGTAGCCACCCTCCAGTGTCAGCACCAATTCAGATATATCAGGATCTACAGCTGAGTGATACACAAATAAGATACATTTTTGTTAATGGCTAAGGTACATGAATACATTTTTAAGATTTAATGCCTGAGTTTACTGCCACTTGCTCAGCTTGACATAAGGATGCACCGATACTAGTAACTGTGCCAATACAGAGTATTTGGGCAAGTACTCGCCCAAATGCTCCAATACTTGCCCCCCGATACTGGAACTTCCGGGCAGAGGGAGATTTCCTCTGACCAGCAGTGCTGCTAGGGACCATGGAGCCGGCTTCCCAGACAATCAGGAAGCCAGGCCACAGGTAATGACTTGCAGCCCGGCTTCCTGATGGGCAGGGAGGCAGGTCATTTCCCGCAGCCCGGCTTCCTGATTAGCCGGCTCCATGCTAGCGGAAGTACTGGTAACGAAGAGTATCGAGATATAAATATCGGTACTCATACTGGATACTGAAAAACCTGTATCTGTGCATCCCTAGCTTGACAGTTGGGCAGCTAGCTTTAAGATAATATATCAGCAGTAGCCTCCAGGTTTCCTTCAGCCTCCTGACTCCTTCCAGTAGCTTATATTTCAGCCTAATTCATCAGAACACCAGAGACTATTACAGCTCCCCTTCTCCTAACCACTCGTCTGGGGCTGCTGTGATAATGTGGATTAAAGATTGGGACAGGCAAGTCTTCTCTTATATAGAAGCAGATATTTTCTCCTTCAAGTGAGTTTGTCACAATTACAGTAAACGTGGCAAATCAGACCAACCCAAACTCCTCCCTCAGCACATCTGGGTAACAGGAATAAGAAGGCATAAGACATCAAGTTCAGAGAGTATACAGTATGGGGAGTTAAATAGTGGCCTTCAGCTCTGTACCCAAATCCCAATATTTGTACTATATTGGCAAACCAAACTGACTTGGGACTTGAACTGTACTACACAACATAAGCACAGAAATGTAAAAAAAATAATTATATATATCATTCCTTTTATTCAAAAAGACTAAAACGTATGATGTCCCCCCATATACAATAAAATCAAAGAATATAAATCCTAGCCCCAAACCAATCTCCTTGTCCCCTGTTAGATAATACATTATTGATGACCTTCTGAAATGTCACGAAGGAGTCAGTGGAGGCTGCAGACTCTACGCCAGGGGTAAGCAACCTCAGCACTCCAGCTTTTGTGGAGTCCCAAGTCCCATGAAGCATTGCAAGACGGAGAGCCTCCGGCATATTTCACAGAGGCAAAGTCATGATGGAATTTGTAGTTTTACTGCAACTGAAGTTCCAAGGTTGCCTACCCCTGCTCTAGCCATTTCATAGATCAAGTCCATTTCTTCAGATGAGAGGTATAGCTAAAAGTGTGTGTAGATGTGTATATATAATATATATACACATATCATATATACACACTTAGATATGCTTCTCATTTCCTGAAGAAATGGACTTTGATCTATGTAATGTATTTACATTAAGGCTTGGAGGTATTCTTTGATACCTTTTTATATAATGAATTTGTCCTTTTTTTTTTTTTTACTTGTAATGTTCCTTGTAATGTAATTATTTCTTGTGTGGTACCATTAAAGTCTCGGGCATAAGAGACATTCAAATCGCAAAAATAAATTCGCAAGTTCAGACGTTAGGCTCCATTCACGCCTATATTTAAGATGTGTTTAGCGATGCCTGCTTCAGAAGTGTTTTCATGCAGCAGGAATCCCAAATCTTCAGTTTAGAAGCGGCAGCTTTCACCTGTTCAATTTAATGATCGGGAGACAGCGGCCGCATTTGAAAGTGGCAGGACGCTGTCACGTCGCATGTGGTTAGCAATCAATCACTATCGCTGGGCGCCTTATGCGTCCAGGGCTGGTGATTGATTCCTAACTGCATGTAATCATATTACATGTGTGCTGTGCCATCACTCTGCCGCCGCCCAATCATTAACTTGAATGGGTGACAGTTTCCACCTCTAAATGGCAGATTTTGGATTCCTGCTGTAGAAGTCCCTAAAAGCACCTAAAATGTACGTATGAATGGAGCCAACACGTCAGAAGTTTGTATCCTTGTATGTAAGCCTGATTGAACTGCTGGGCTTGTTATTTGTCCATTATTATAGAAATTGTGGGCACAGCGAGCATCTACCTTACCTATAGCTACTCATCTGGTTTCATTCTTATACTGTACATTGAGGAAATCAGAGGATCTGATTGGATGCTTTGGGCAATACAGACACTTTTCTTTCTTTATATAATCCATCCTCCCTTACTGGTTATTTAAGTGCCTTAATGAAAAAGACTGTTACAGTAAAACGTTTCTTTTCTAATTCTGTGTGTTTTGGAATCCTTTTTACATCATTAGAATTAAAGAAGAACTATGAGGTGAGTGCTTTTCACTAGTCCTCATAGTTCTAGCCGACCTGTGACAAAGAGACTGTCACAGGTCGGCTCAGTAGATCGGGAGGTGAGCGAACACATACCCGCGTTCGTTCACCTCTCGCTCCTGTCACGGCTCTCTGCTGTGACAGGGGGAGGGGCTGGATTCCCAGCTCCGATCCTCCAGCGCTGACTGGCGGATCGGACGGGGGAGGAGGCGGGTACAGCTGGCTCTGCATCTAGGCAGAGCCGGCTGCCAGTCACGCAGCTGGGCGGATCCAGACATAATTGTCGGGATCCGCTTCAGCTGCGGCGTCTCAGTATAACGCGAGCTACAGCTCGCAGTATACTGAGCCTAGGGTGACGGGAGGACGCTAGTTTGTGTCCTCCCGTTACCCTAAGGAGAACTATGGAGGAAAGCCTTAACCCCATAGTTCTCCTTTAAGAGCGGCCAGAGTACATCACGTCGGAATCTGTTGTCTGATGGTTCTCTTTCTATTGTCGCATCGAAGAGGAATCACTGGTACCCATGCGTGTACACACCCAATGAACCGCACATGCCCCATACACTTGCTATGGCTGGGATGTTACTAGTGGTGGACACAATGAGGGGAATTTATCAAAACTGGAGCAGCCGTGCATGGCAACCAATCCGCTTTTCTGTTTCATTTTCAAATCTTAACTGAAGCTGATTGGGTGGTTGTTATGCATAGCTGCTCCAGTTTTGATAAATTCCCCCTAATGATTTTCAGCTGGTGATCACTGTGATTTAACATTTCTTAAAAAAAAAAAAATCAAAGTTTACCTTAAGCGAATTGAGAGTACCAGAATTTTGCAATAAAGGAGTAGGGGAAAAATCACTAGAGAGATGATATCGGTGCATCTGTTGTACATAAACGCCATCACTTTGCCCGGAGTGGGAGAGATGACAGGGTCTCTTAAGAAGAACTTGTTAGCTTTCTGTTACTTTTATAGATTAGAAAACCTTCCTC